AAAGCCGGGTAATACTGGCTAGTTTTACATGTTTAATTGGGGGAAAATAAAATCTCTATGCACGGTTAATAAACGGATAAGAAACTAAGTCTAAGCTGTAGGCTAGTGTCCGACACGATCTCTGGGTATGAGACGCAGCTCGGAGCCATGCTTGAGGAACACATTGCCCGCCGTCTGCTGCGGACTGATGCCAATGCCGTCGTCTGTGATGATGGCGCTGGTCTCTGCGGGCACCTTGAACTCCTCTGAGGCGAATTTGAGCACAGCTGTGAATGGCGTCGCCTCCGGCACGCTGAGCACCTTGAAAGGCAGCTTGGGATCCGATGTGAGCGTTATTTTAAATGTAACTTTGCTCATTTTGTTGTTATTGTTTGGGTGTGCGGAATGCAAATACTATGTGACGTGGTCAGTTTTGGTTGAGGCTGCCAGCTGCTGATCCAATGGCCTTGTTGGGGTTGTTGTGAGGGACCTTGGTCACGGCAATACCTACTCGAATTAAAAATTTGTTAATTTGGGCTCTTTAAAGTGCAAAAAATCGTGAATTTAATTGAAAAACAAAATTTCTATTTTGCTCTTACGCGCAGTGATGTGCAAAAGAACGATAACGCATGAAATGTTTTATATTGGAATGCGATATGATATCGATAGCATCTAACCACAGCTACTTCCATCGCTGACTATTTACAGCGCTTGTTGCTACCCAGTGTTACCAATTTAGCTATTTTTCACTTGAATTGTTATCCTTATATACGGTTTGTATACACTTATCCAATGCGATTTTATCAGCAGCGAATAAAAGTTGAAGATGAAACCATTTAGAAATAAAGATGATCTAAAAGTTTCGGCTATTTCGTTACCTAGCTGTTATTAATTTTAGCCGTTTTTAGCTGTTTGTCAGCAGGGCATCACTGGCTGTATTCTGCATAAATCTCCCGCCTTGTTATCGAAAAAACAACGCGTCTTATCGATAAAGTATATACAATTCACACGGTTTAGAACGAATTTGTAAATATACGCTAGAATTTTGGCAAATGTAATTTGAATTGGGGTTTATTGGTTTGGTTTGTTGCAGAAAAACTGGAATAACGATAAACGTACCCGTCGCAGCAACAAACCATTTCAAGCTCGTGCCTCGTCGGCAGCAAGCGTATCATATTTGGAATTTGTACGCGAAGCAGTGGGCGAAGATCTATTGCTGCCCGAGAGTCTGGGCGAGGCTGCGGCGCCACATGGCAGTGCCACGGGCTTAACGCATTCATCCCCACGTACGCACACACAAACCAAAGAGGAAGGCAACTCCAAGCCCCATACTCAATCTGAATCTCAGCGCAAGCCTCGCCGCATATGCGACGAGCGAAATCAGTCCTCATCGTTGACCATCAATGTTAACTACGTCTTTGGCGGTGAGCTAGGCGTCGTCAATACGTTCGGAGCTGGTGTCTCTGTGCCCTTCCAGGCGAATAATTTTGCCAGCAATGTGGCGAACATAAATCGCACGCTTTATCCAACCAGCGAGTGCAGTTCCTTGGCGCTGCCACCGCCGCTGCCGCCATTGCCGGACGATGCGCCGCCGGCAGTGAATCTCTGCTTTGATGCACTCACGCAAACCGTGCAAATCAAAGAGTCGGACCAGTCTGCAGAGCAGACCGAGGAGCAAAAAGAAGACGTCGCCAACAGCTCCAAGCGAGCGCGTTATCAAATTTACAAGCGGCTGCTCTTTGCACGCACACAGCGACGCCGCGGACTAACAGCGAAGTCGACGTCGGCATTGCCGTCGCGGTCGCGCTGTCGCTACCACGTGTTGCGACAGCGATTGCGCCATAAGCTACAAACACGCTGTCAAGCGCTAATCACCTCATACGCCAGCTACCTGCAACAGCAGAGAGAACTCTACGCCCACGCTCCGTCCGTGCAGCACTATCACAGACGCTTCCTGGCGCTCGAACTGTACACACAGCTGCTTGTCGAACTGAATATGTTTTGCCAGAGCAAGGAACATCCGGTGCCGGTGCCGGAGACGACCTCGAGCATGAGCTCGCCTCAGCAGCAGAAACGACAACGCTGCGAGGAAGCGGCACGCCTACGCAGAGCCAATCGGCAGGAGGAGATGCTGCGCCACATGCTCAAGCCGGATAGTCCGGAGGAGCGCAATCGCAAGGATGCCAGTAAGTTCAGCGTGGGCCCTAATTTAATTCATTGAAATACATCGCGATCCTATTACAGCCTTTGCTTACAACTTCTACGATAAAGTGGAGGAGGCGTTGCTGTCTTCCAATCGCATGGAGGACTGCCACAAGTTCAATCATCTGCTGCAAACCTTTGATCCCAAGCAGGATAAGGTAGTTGATTTGTATTTGGTGAGTGCTGTACTTTGTGATCTCTCTTTCGCTAGATCCGCTAGTTCACGCCCTGTCTTTGCCTTTTAGAAAATGGAAAAATTATTACTGCCCGATCATCCCGAGCTGGCCGAGGTGTTTCTGAACTTTCTGCTACCTGCGGAGGCCGCTGAGCTGGGCAAATACTTCGAGTACTTCATGATCACCAATGCCAGTAACTTTATCAACAAGCTTAACATCTACTTTTGCAAGCAGCCAGCACAAATCCGCAAGATCTACGCATGCCTTAACGAACTCGCCCAGTTGCCCAGCGTGAGCATAAAGAAGGTCCAGTCCAAAATTTTGCCCCTGCTCAAGGGCAATCAGTTCCTACGCGATTGGTTTGTGCAGCAATTTCCACAGGCTAAGCCGCCCAAGCGGTAAGCGCCCATTAATATAGTTTAAGGGCGGGTGAATATTGAGTATAGGGTATCTACTAGCTTAACTTATGTTTCCATGTTATATATTTTAGCTTTCTGCCCCCCGCGGAGACCATGAATATGCATGAGGTGCTGGGCAATACCAGCGGTACATTTTCGGAAACCCTGCAGGATCTGCCGGATGATTCGCCGCCGCAGGGCAAACCGCCTGGCTGTCAACTGAAATATGTGAATGGACGCATATTTTATGGCGCCAAGGTGATGCTGCCAGCCAAGCTATCCTTTAGAGCGGCCAGCCTCTACAACGAGCAATGTCACGAGCCGCTTAGCAGCGACGTAACCTGTGCGCATGGTGTGCGCGCCCACGGCGAGAAGCTGATTAACTCTGCAGGCGCTGTGGACAGTGATGATGCGGCAGATCGCAGCGAGGATGATGATGCCAACCGTACGCTGGTGATTGACACCACCACCGGCGACGAGGAAAACAGCAGCTCCTCCCTGGACATTTGTGATGACATGACACTGCGCGCACACGCCATGCGTCTGAATGCCAGCATCAACAGCAGCACATTCAATTGGGGCCATCATCATGGGCATCATCAGTCGCACAGCAAGAAGGCAGCCAGTAATTTGGGCGAAACCTCGCCGCGTCGTCAGACTGCGAACAATCTGTCGCCTCTGTCGGGACAGAATGCGCATACGAGCGGCGTCTCGCCCCAGCAGGACAAGCGCAAGTCGCCCAGCAAAAAGGTGCGTTCGCCGCTGGGCCAGACGCAGCCGCGTCCACGCTACAATGTACAGCCCATGGTGGTCATACATGAGCCACAAGTGCGTGGGCCGGCGCCCGCCTCGCCGGCCATCGAGTTTGCGAAGCGACTGCGCACGCTGATCAGCCAGGATGGCAGTGAGCCGGACAACAAGGCGGGCATACAAATCATAGCGCAGGCCAAGCGGAAGAGCACTTCTCCGTCCGTTGCTAAACTAGAGCTCACCTCGCAGGACGACCCAGAGTTGCTGCCCGAGAATGCGGCAGAGACGACCCCATCGCTTTCCCAGCAGCCCTTACCAGCTATCAAAATGGACATTGAGCCGGAGGTGACCCAACTGAGCAGCGGCAGCACGCCGCAGCATGTAATCACAACGCAGTTTGACAGCGATGAGGACTGCAAACTGGACGTGGTGGCCTCGCTGGCCAACTCTGTTCAGGAGGAAGAAGTGGAGCCGAAACACGAAGTAGCCAGCACCTCCAAAGCGGCGCTCGTAGCACCCAGCTTAACGGGCGCTTGGACGCGCGAGGAGGACAAGGTGATACTCATTGAGATGAAGCGTGGCGCTCGCGATCGTCAGCATCTGATCAGGCGCATGGGCGCCAAGCTCAAGCATCGCAACGAGGCCGAACTGCGAGCGCGTCATCAATTTCTCATGGATTTTCTATCCAAGCTACAGGGCAAATAGAATATATAGAATGTATATAGAGAGTTTGAGTCCATAAGTCGACTGCAAATTAGTTTATCATGCATGTTAAGGCATAAGCCTTAAGGACTGCCGTTTTATTACAAGTCTGCACAATCGGCAGTTTAACATTCGAGTTAGGGCTGTTTGTTATGATAAAACTCATTGATAATTAGTTTAACATTCATGTTAAATCTGTTTTCGAGGACAAGCCTAATGCGCAAAAGCTTAAAATTGATTTAAGCGCTATTTTTTTTTTCAACAACATTGCAGGTCAGTTTAACATGAATGTCAAAATGTCATAAACCTCATTGAAAATTATTTATTATTATGATTAAAAAACTCATTGGATATAAGTTTAACATTCATGCCTACATTGTCTTAGCTGAGGAACCTCTTTGTAAATTGTGTTTTATCAGTTTAATTATATGATTAAGTTAAGCAGATCAGTCCAGAAGAAATCTAGATTGGGCTTACCTGAATAAATAACAAAACTAAATGTATATAAAATAAGATGAATCTATTGTTAAAACTGGCGAATTCAGTTTAGAGATGGGCGTCTGTTGGCATATTTAAACAAATTATAAGTGCTTAACAACACGAAAGGCGCCCAACCCTACCTCAGTTCCACAAATGTATGTATTCTAAGGTCAAGCTTTCCATAACTCATCCTCAATGGCCATGCGACGGTGGATAAAGCTTTCCCCTTGCCCGCGGTCTGCGCCCTGCTCCATGGAATTGCACACACATTCTGCAAACTTGGTTAATTTATTGAATAATATCTTAACTAAGATCACATGGCGCAGGAACTGAGAACGTCCTCCAGGATTTGTTCCTCTAGCTGCCTGCATGCGCTGGCCATGGTGATAAATACCGCCGGTTGTGGCTGCGCCTCCGCACTGCACTGATAGTCATCCACAAAGGTGAACGTGCCCGCCACCGTTTTGCAGTGGCCGCCATCATCGCACCCGGAATCGCTGCTCCAGCTCTCGCAGCCACACTGCGGCGCCTCATCCGGCGGCAGTTGCTGGGCTGGCACGCTGCTGACAACGCGCTCCTCGGCGTGCGGCTCCTGACGACGTCGCGGCCAGCTCCAGCAGCGCTGACAGCCACGTGACATGCTGGCCAGGCAGCAAAGACGAAAGCAGACATCCGAGGCGCCACGCAAACACAAAAAGAATTCGGGCATGAAGCTGGGATTAATCACAGCATAGACCACAATGTTCATGCTCAGCTGGAGGGCATTTAGGGTTATGAATATGACCTCCAGATGCTCCATCAGATCCTCGTCCATTTTATTCGTATCGCCGCCAAAGAGCAGATTGAGGGAACTCTTTCTCGATGTCATGTGCGCCGGCAGCTCACCCACCATATAGAGCGTGATGACAATTAGAATGCTGATTGTGAGCTTCATTTGATGCTGCAGTGGTACGAGAAGCAGTTAAGGGTGTTGGACTGAAGGATTAGACGTAGACATATACCTGATAGCGTTTCTGTGTGGTGCGCTCGTTGTCATTGCAGCTGCTTTGCTGGCATCTTTTGCCCTGCTTGGTCCAGCGGCGAAAGGCAATTATGATGGCCGTATTGCCAATTAGCAAAAATACGGCTGGTATCAGCGCCAACAGGGCAAATGAGAACCAGTTGTGTATCTGATAGAACCTGCAAATGGCTTGAAGAAATCAGGATAACGTTGAAGGAGCCGCATGATAAGTCCACTCACTTGGAATAGTAGAAGTCCGTGACATGGCAGGTGGCCGTATCCAAGTCGACAACAAAACAAAAAAAGTACGGCATATTGACCAGGATGGAGATGAGAATAACGAAGCAGATCATAAAGCGTGCCACCTTGCGACGACAAAATCTGGGTGCACCGTTGCCGACCGTAAAACGTGACAAATAGATAAATCTATCAAGGCTAACGCAGGCCAGTATCAGATTAGCAGCGCCCGTGCTAATGCCAAAGAGCGGCGTCTGCCACTGATAATCATAGGCCACCCAGGCGGCGCTCTGATAGAAATAGCTGCGCGAGAGTGCGGTCAACGTGATGAGCAGGCAGGACACGCAATCCAGCCAGGAAAGGGCGGCCAGGTAAGTGAAAGCCGAGGGCGTCATCTTGGGTCGCATGAAGACGACAGCATTGATGAAGTTCGCGCACAGACCAAACGAGGCCAGGGTGGGCACCGCCAAGCCATAGATCAGAAATATGGTTACGGTTGGCGTGGTGCGCTGAAACATGCACACATCTTTCGAATGGAGCTGGTAGCTGGAGTTGGAATTGGCGCTGGAGTTGGATTTGTTGCTGGCGAAATTCAGGACAAAGTAATCCAACATGTCTGACTAACTGACTGATTGCTGACATACTGAATAGGTGCGAGCGATATGTTTATCTAATTATTCACAAATACAGTCGATAAGATTATCTATAGTTAACGCACACATAATGTTAATTTGTGAGCAATCAAAGATAGCAAGGTACTCAAGTTTCGAAAGCCCAGCACCGACTATAGTTCCAGAGGATTGCATGGGTTTGTGGCATGCTCTGCTTACATAATATTTTTAAACCAACATTTCTTCTGCCTTTATGTCTAATACACATAATTTATTTCCACTTTTGCAAAAATTGAAGCCAGTGGGAATAGAAAGGCATTAAAACCTTAATTGCGATGTTAAGCCATTGAGAATCGAGTAGAAAGGCTAAGGCTTTGGGCTGTTTGCCCAGTTAAGGTAAGACCCTGTATTGTAACTACTAGAGAACTTAATTATTTTGTATTTATTTTAATTTTATAGATTTGTCTTATTCATGTAATTTATTTCAATTTTCAGCAACTCTTAGGAACAGAATTTAAGACTGAGAATTGCGTAGAAAGGCGGTGAAGAATGAGCTGTCTGCTCAGAAGAGGTAACACTTTATATTGTATCTATTAAAAAATGTTTTGTGTTTATTTCTTGTAGATTTGTCCAGTACATATAGTTTACTTCGTTCTTCAGCACCTCTCAGTAACAATTTTAGCCAATGAAAATTGCTTAGAAACGTTTGTCCAGAAGAGGTAAGACCCAGTCGTATATCTACTAGAGAACTTTCTTGTATTGTATTTATTATGATTTTATAGTTTTGTTTAAAGTATATAACTTATTTCCTCCTTCAGCTCATCTAAGAACAAATTTAAGCCAATGAGAAGTGCATAGAAAGGCGCTTATGAGTTAATTGCAATTTTAAGCAAATGAACATCGAGTAGAGAGGCAAAAGGAAGTGCTGTTTGCCCCGAACAGGTAAGACTCCGTACTATATCTTCTAGAAAACTTCCTCCCTTAGTGTTTACTTTGATATTATAGTGTAGTATTTATTCGTGTATATACAAGCATGATTCATGCTTATGCCATTTGATTTACTTCAGTTGTATTTTTTTATTTGTTGGTGATTGGATTTATAAATTACGTATATGTCGTATATCGATAGACGCACAAACAAATGTCCCGACGTATCATTCGTTTTAGTTTAGCTTTTGGCTTGTTTGGTTAGACGCCAAGAATAATATCGGGTTTTTGTTATTTTTTGAAGTAATTTATTGAGTTGAATTTAGGTTTTTTGTATCTTTATATAGTATGCTTACGGCAAACATCGAGATTTGTATTTGATTTGATATATATGTAAATATTTGTTGTTGTTTGTAGTTGAATTCGTACTAAAATTAATGTTTCATTTATAATTAAATATGCGATTTAAAAAAACACACACATATGAGTTGTTCAAAAATACTTAAAAAATAATTGAAGTATGTTGTAAAAATGTTTTTGCTCTAAATAAAAATCAAATAACAATAATAAGTGTATATATTCAATATATATATATACATATATAAGTATATAGCTATGCATTTTGTATAGTTCCATAGTAAAATTAATGTTAATATTAATGCATAGTATATATTTTTAATATTTTAAACAGACTTGGAAATTTTGTTTTGTTGTTGCCATCAAATTCATTAAAGTAATCAATTAACTATAGTTACTCATACTACACACGCACACATGCACATTTATAAATTTATTATTATTTATTTATATTAAATAATGTGGTATATCATATCATATACGAGCAAATTTACGTGTAGAGTACAATCTGTTGAACTTGAACTTTAAGTGGTACTCGTCATAGTCATATTTAGTCACAAAATTAGTTTATCTCCAATAATAATGTTAGTATTTATTTGCTTATAATATATATATTTGATTTTGAATTATTTAATATTCGACTGTGTTTGAAATAAACGTTTTTAAATGCTTCAAGTTCGGAGTTATACATTTTTTTTGTAATTATATATAAGTTACTTTAGATTTTAAACGAATATTGTATTTCAAATTTCAACTACTTTTGTTAATTTAATTTAAGTTTGTTTTTTGGTTTTTGTGCCCTAGTGTTAGCACATAGCTTGGCTACTAAGTTATCGTTTGATAAGATTCCTTTCTATGTTTAATAGAATATATTTATATAATTAGTTTATGTATACTTGTTCTATATATGCCTTATGCAAAAGCCGACAACTTTGTTGATATAACTCGTCAAATTTTAGAGTATTTCGAATTTCTTATGCTTCTAGAAAGAAAGAGAGCTACAAGAGGCACAAAAGCTTAGCTTAGGCTGCGCTACACAAAATATTTAATTTCGATTTAAATTTAAAATTATTTTTGTAATAATTTTTGTTCTTTTTGGTATTTCTTTTGGTAACTGAAGTTGTTGATATAACACGCATGTGTTTGTTTTAAGCTTATAGTAGATTGTCTTTTCTCATAGTTAAACAGTAGTTAATTAGCAGCTAAATTTTAGTTAGGTACAACACGAAGATAATACATACATATGCACTACATATATGTATATATATATATATTATCCCATCTATAGTTAGACTTTGGAAAGCTACACTTCTGGCGCAGTTGAGAGCAATAAATTTGGTTTATTCTTAGACTAAACCTAAACTTTCTTTTAGCTTTAACTTATTGCTATGCAATTTGTTTTGCGTTTTATTTTTCTTGCTTTTTATTATGGTACATTGAGACTCTATGCCGTTTATATGTATGCATATATTCGGGTAATATATGCTAGAAATCGTTTAATATTCATATAATTTATACACACACATGTACAGCTAATTAAAAGGTGATAAATAAGAAATACGCACATAAGTATGCTATGATATTTCTGAATGTTCGAAAGCAATGAAAAGTGCTCAGAATACATATGTATTTATATACTAAATTGTCCATGACAACTTGCCTAAACGCATATTTCGATTTGCTTATAATGCAGGGGCCAACATTACAATCGAATAACGTTTAAAACTCTCAACCGAAACGTATTATCCTTCATCTAATTGCTGAGTGTGACTAAAAAAGAAACAGAAACTTTAGAGCGAGACAGAGAGAAAGAGAGAGAGAGAGAGAGAGAGTGAGAAGGCGCTAAAGATCAGCTAGTTGGAGAGCATGTGTATATCTATAACTTTATGTGATAACATTGAGATGTTTGCTAAATTGTACTAATATATTTTGTATGCTTAATTTAATACTTGAATCTGAATGTGAATCTTTAGAATTTGAAAAGTTGTCAAATAGTTGGCAAAATTGAAAATATAAATTATGTGAAGCGCATGACTGAGTTAGGGAGAAGTTTTTGTTTAGTTTGGTTGAGTTTAGTTTAGTTCGGTGTTAAGTTGCGAGCAGAGAAAGAAGGAGAGAGCGAGAAATAGAGAGAGAGAGAGAAAAGCGTTGGGTAATGGTATATAAAATAAAAGTTTTTATTGCATAGTTTTTTCTTCTTCCATATTTTTAATTTTCATTTCTTTTTTTGGCTTTGAGTTGCAGTTCCAACGTGGAGCAAATGTTTAACAATGATTGATAATTGTTTTTTAAACTAAATGAATATGTCGTGTATGTTAACTTAGTGTACTCGTGAGTGCCTAACAATTAGTCAAAGATTTAAATAAGCAATAAATAAAAGCTTAAGACAACAAATTATTGCTTTCGTTTAGCATAAATAACAATTATGATATGACTAACGAAAACAAATAAACAAAAAAGTATTTGTCTTTTTTTAATAAACAATATCAACTGACGACACAACTCGCTGGTTCCGTTTCCGTTTCCCTTTCCTGTTCCTTACAGCTGCTTATGGGCTGACAATGTATTCGGGATTCACATAGGAGAAGCCAACAAATTCCGATTGATCCAGATTCATCATAAACACCTTATCCGTGGGTGTCAAGTCTGTTTTCTCTGATGTGAATTGCTTATCAAAATTGGACACATCCTTGCGGTGTTTCTGTGCGGCAGGACTCAATGGTAAGTGAACGATTCTTTTACTTTATATGTTAAATAACTTACAATTTTCGGCTTGAACGGCGGCTGCACCTCACGATTTTCTATCTTCTCCCAGTCGATGCGCCGGAAAAATGGATGCAAACGCACATCCTCCTCGCCGGAGGCGCCACAACCTAAACGCTTGTTGGGCTGCTTGGTCAGGAACTGCGGCAAAGAGAAGGTAAGTAAATAAATAAATTAGGCTTTGCTCAACTTACGCCCTTGCACGCCTCCTTGGCCTCCTTGCTGAGACTCTTGGGATAGGATACATTATGATCGGTTATGGCCGCAAACAACTCCTCCTCATCCTCTCCATCGAAGGGCGGCTGACCCACTAGCATCTCATAGAGCAGCACACCATAGGCCCACCAATCCACAGACTTGCCGTACGGCTGATAGAGTATTATCTGTGAATAGACCAAGATTAGATAGGTTCCTTAAATTCTGCTCTTTGACTCTGACCTCTGGCGCTATGTAGTCCGGTGTGCCGCAGAATGTTTTGGTCGTCTTCTCGCCCATGATGTTCTCCTTGCACATGCCAAAGTCAGCAATTTTGACATGCCCATCGGCATCGAGGAGCACATTGTCTAGCTTCAGATCCCGATACAAAATGCCCTTGGCATGGAGAAAGAAAAGTCCTGCCGCAATTTCCGCAGCATAAAATCTGGACGCGAGCAAAAGCATATTCTATAAGATATCTTCAGAATTGGCCGCGAAATGCTTAACAACTTACACGGCTACTGGCTCCTTGAACTTGCCAAATTGTTGTATTTGAAACATTAAATCGCCGCCGTTCACATACTCCATGACAAAGAACAGGCGATCCTGTGCGAGTAGAGACTATGCTAATTAATCAACTTAAATGATTACGTATACGCACCATGGTCTGAAAGCAGGAATGCAGCTGGACAAGAAACGGCGGCTTCTCGCCCAACGCCAGTACACGCTTCTCAATCATGGTGCACTCGACATCGTCGTCCTGTATAATCACATCCTTTTTGAGTATCTTAATTGCATACAGCTCCTCGCTGCCCTTGCGCTCCGCCAGCAGCACCTGCACATGCACATGCCGCAAAAGTTTCACAAGTTCAACTTTAATTCGGGTCAAATTCTGTCAATTTACCTTGCCAAAGGAGCCCTTGCCCAGCACTTTAATAAAATTAAAGTCTGTGGCACGTATCATGTCCTTTTTGGACTGTGAATGTGTGTGTGTATCGCAGCGCATCATCGGCTGTTTCCGCTGCGAGGGCTTCTGTTTCAGCTTGAGCAAATCCTGCTGATCATCCGCACAGGGCACATTGTAATATTCACCCTCATCCTGTGTCAACAGCTTGAACCAACCATTGGTGGGATTCTTGATAATCTCCGAAATGCCAAACGACAAGGCGCCCATAAAATCATTGCGTGAGGTTCGATCCCAGTCCCACACCTCGATCAATATGCGTCGATCCTTGTCCTCCGGCTTGAGATCGCTGCAAAAATCAAGCTTTTGAGTGTCGCAAAAGAAAACTTGTAGACAATCTATTTATCCTACTAGCTAATGGTTTCATTCCACACGGGATTGAGGCACGCCTTTATGGTGCGCGTCTTCTTCTTGGACTGGTCCTTGTCATCGGGTATCAGCTTGACCTTCACATACGGATCGCTCAGTCCATTGGGGTCCATGGGTATGAGATTTCGTCCCTCCTTGACTGCAATCATAACGTGACCATAAGAATTTGTATATGTATTTTCTGCAACAGTCAGCCAGCAGCTGGCAAATTGTGCAAGCGCAAAATTCTATAAAATATGCCAACGCATTATCCTGGCCCATTGTTATTGTTCACGTGCTTCTTTGCTTCTTTTACCTCATGCCTGTCGTCTCCACTGCCGTCTGCTTCAGCTGGCTTAACATATTTTTATCACGCTTTTGTTTAGCAACTGCATTTTAGTATTCATTATGTGGCATATTGTGTGGAGAGTTTTCTTCATAATGAATTAATGCAAATCATAAGCAATTTGCCAGCGTCTCAGCTGTGGGACAAAAGCAGCCCCAGGGCAATGCGAGGCTTGAATACTAAATAATTTCTGTTCAGATTTCGAATTTAAAGAGTACAGGATAGTAAATAAATCTAAATCTTGCCTTTTGCTCTTTAAGGCACCCGTGAAGGGACAATTAAGTGTTGGAAAATTATAAAAAGTGTCAAAATCCCAGATGGAATTTGGATGAAATTTAGCTATGCTTACAGTAATATCTATATGGTTGGAAAATATGTGAAAATAACAAAGTCAATAGAGGCTAAACTATATTTCCTGAAATAATCTCTGTTTGCAGTTATAAGTATAGTGTTGGAAAGTATGTTAATATAACAAAACTAAGAGGGCCTAAAACAAATTAAAAGAAAGCTATGTTCACAGCTACAAGAATAGAGTTGTAAAATTTGTGAAAATAACAAAATCAACAGGTTATTGAAATAGGTTAACAACGGGGATTTCTCGCATTAAAGGCTTAGTGTTGAAACACGTTACAGATGGAAATATTATATTTTAGTACTTTAAGTCTGGAATAAAGAGGTGTAACATGTAAGCCAAGTCAGAATTATAATACTTCACAGTTGCCGTTGGAAGGAAACAGTCCGAAATTTAAAATTTTAGGCATCTTGTTAGTGAAAAAACTTTGCAACTGCTTTCCATAATTTTTTATTCTATTTCTTTTATATCTTCTCGTTTGTAAACTTCTGCGCAAGGTGGAGGCTTATGGTATACTTGGTGGGCGACGCAATTGGTTAAAACTTAAGCGCTTTACAGTCGTATTTCAGCTAGGGCGGTGGAGTGAAGTGTGGTTGGGGGTCTCGCCAACAAGTTGGCAACAACTTAAGAGCTTGGTCGTAATACGCTTAGAATTGGGTGCATTACTCGTACTTACTGTGCACGGTGAGCAGATGCTCTTTGACATTTATCTCGAGATAGATGCGTCCCCGTCGCTCCGTATGATCGCAGCCGCACAAGCTGGGCACGTTCTCCTTGCAGCGTGCATGTACGTTCATATCGCATGCTAAATAAGGTTGAATGTATATGTATTCGTTGCCAGGTCGTAGGTCACGTAGTGGAATAAAGATAAGTCGCTTGTTAGTGGCCACTTGGCAAACATTGAAATAGATGGTCAGCTCGGGCGGGAGAAAGTTACAGAGAATAGATTGAAAGTGATTTCTTTAGCTGTTGGCGGTGCTACAGGAATAGCAACAGGAGGCTGATATATACGCACACACACACACGCTCGCACATATATATACACACACGCGCACAGGACACGCGACAGGACACGCATACAAAGTGAGTTTTGATATAGCTCAAGTACTTACCCCACAATCCATAAGCCCATTGAATACGAAAGTGAGGAAAAGAACATATTTCCTCGGCATGCCGAAGCCTAAAATACTCTTGCGGAAGTTTGTGTATGTAAGGAATATAAATACGAGAGGCTAGGAACTAGACTAGCAGACAGACAGACAGATATATCTAAATCGCCTGTTAATACTGATGAATATATCTACTCCTTAGGTTCAAATATGTCTGCTTCGCGGGAAAACTAATATACCCGCTGCATGGAGAATAAATAAAAAATTGTCGCCTACTTCGTTGGGAAACATCTGCGCCCGGTTATCAATCAGCGCGGCAATCCAATAAACTCATCCGCCTCGTTTTGCCAAATGCCAAATGCGTTGCCTCCTATCCTTTTGCTACGCCCACAAAGAACGCCTCTTGGGCAATACAAAATCAACGCCAATTTGTGTTGTCGACTGCAATTGCAATCAATTTGGCAGCGGCCAAAACGGGTCAATGGGAAAAAACTGTTGCACAGTTTGGGGCGCACATGTCGCAGGCATATGCACAGGATATACACACAGGCCAGAGTTGCCCAACAGGGTTGCACTGGGCAGTACTCGAAATGCATTCAATTGGAAATAATTGCAAATGGAATTGTAATTCATTTTGCACTTGCAAAGCGTGTGTTCAATTCGTAAATAGAATTTTTAAAATTCACTGAAACATGGTGCAATCGATAAGGAAAGGCGGCTTTTTTGACTGAGCTAAACGGAATATTAATCAAATTGGCATCTTTTTTAAGTAGTTTTGGAAGTATTCGTTAAACGAACAGTTCCAGGGACTAAGAGGACTCTTCAAACTCATCTTATTTGGGTAAGTGCTAACAATTCCTTATCATTTTCTTATATGCCTCAAGAAATTCACTTGAAGAAGTCTCAAGATTCATTCGAAGAAGTCTTTACCCTTACTATGAATTTAACTATATCATATACCATTAACTATTTAAATATCTAAGAACAATTTATTAACATTAAACAATTACAAATATAGAACATTTTCATGGGAAGCTATTCATTTGGATTTTTTGAGACTTATAAGAGACGAACGAAAATAGGTGCAGCAAAACATTTTATAAAAAGGAATTTTAGCTCTTCTCTTGTTTTGGGTAATCTACTAACTAATCGAAAGCATCTATAATAAAATAATTGATAAAATTATTGTAGTCGTGAATCAAAATCAAAGCTTCAATTTATGAAAACGTAAAATGCGCTTAAATAAATAAAGGGGAAATAAAGTCTAAATTGGGGTACAGGGTATTTGCGATTCGATAACTTCACTATCCACCCTCTAAACCTGCTCATGATGTTAACTGAAATTGACCAGCTCATCGCTCATTATCATCATGTTCATCCACATATGTGTATCGCTATGATTGTCAGGCCTTTCGGTCCTGGGGCGCTGCATCATTGGCTGATTTCATGGCATTTTCTCGCTTTTTTGTTGTGTTTTTCTATTTATTTTCCTTTCGCTTTCTTTGGCCGCTTTTGCTCATGTGTAAAATTACTTCGGACATCGCTCACAGCCCACACCCGCTGCGAAAAGTATGCGCTATTGGGCGCCTGCATCGACGTCATTTGGCTGTTGAGGCGCACGTGGCGTATACGTATTTTCATTTTCATTTTTTTCTGTTGCGAAACTTTCGCTTGTTGCTTGCGCCGCATGGAAAAAGTAATCATTTTTTGATGTCCACAAGCTTACTAGGGCGTTGGGGCGTGGCAGGCTGGTCAGTTGGGCAGTCTGTGTGTTGTGTTTAATGAAAATATGAAAGAGTTGTTTTTTTCGTCTTCCTTGCGGCACACAACAAAAAACACAACGTCAAATAACAAAAAGGAAATATAAAAAGGTTTTCCCCTAGCGTGCCACATTTCGTGGAGCAAAAAAACAACGGCAAGCAACTGTGCGTGTCTTTGTATGTGGCCCAGTTTTGCATTTGCCGCTTTTTTGCGTAAAATTATTTATTTATATAGCCTCATATGCAGGCTATATATATATATTTTAATACCCTATGAGTGCTGTTAATAGGGCATGTAAAATTGAGCTATGTAAAAAATATAATTACAATAAAAATACACAAATTTCAACTTCAATTCGGCTTGATTGAGAATTTGCTGTCGTTATTCACATAGCTTTGTTTGAAAACTTTTTACAGGGTATGCTGCTATTGAGTTTATGCCTGAAAGACTTCATTCTTTTTCTCGTTATTGCATATTTGGGCAGCAGTTTTTTGTGTGCCTTCCGATGAGTTTAAAGTTGCCCGCTTTGCTGGTCTGAATAACAGGCCAAATAATCTTGTTTCCACAAATATTCCATAGTTGTTTTAAGTATTTACGTAATTTGTGGCTTTGCTAGTTCATAAGGTTTGCAGCATCTGTTTTGCAAGTCTTAAAATATCCCGAATCTGCGCCCAATCTAAGTCTATTTTAATATTTGATTCTACTTTGTTCATGCTCTAAATGAATTGTGCTCATAAATTTTCTTCCATTCATAATACAAGACTTTTCTTTCAATCTCTCTTTTCTAGTCGAATTTTTGATTAGAATTAAATTTTTAATCGAATTCTAATTTTAGTTCATATAAATTGCCATCTTAAAGCCTTGTTAATGTTAACTGAGCTCCGCAAAAGTATTTTAGCCAGATTTTAAACTCGTATTTACTTGTCAAAACCTTGTCAATTGCCTTATGTGTGTTGCTTGGGAACGTCATGTGCTTTCTAGCTTGTTTGATTAATCAATTTTCCAATCGTTTGTAATAATTCAATTATTGTGATATCTTTTTGTTTGTGAAAATATCCTGTATGGGAACCATGTGATATATGCTCAATAATTCAGAAGCACAAATGAGGCAAAACCAAAAACACAATTGCAATAGAACTGTAAACGTTATAAAGCTGGGTGAAATAACATGCATGCACACACACACATACACAAGCACATATGCACAAAATTGGCGCTCGATAATGACAGTCACACACACAGACACACACACACACACACACGCACTTCCGGCAACGGCTACGGCTTATTGTTGGAGAATTTTCTGTTGCCACATTTACATTTCCATTTGCAATCTGTTTGCTTGGGACTGTTTTCAATATGTGTGTGTGTATGTGTATATGTGGAGTGGTCTGTTTATCTATTGTTATTGTTGTTGTAGTTGTTGTCGCTGTGGTTCTACTTGTTTGCCTGGCCGGGGCAATGAGGCGTAAGTAAATTATTTGTTTGCCAAGGGGCCATGCCGGATATTAAGGCAACAATTTGCGCTGTCTAACAAATGATTCGGAAAATTGTGTAGTTTTATCTTCTTTCTTTTTCTTTGTTGTTGTTTTTTGCGGCAAGCCAAAAATTATTCAAACCAAAAGGACAACAAAACTAAGTAATATAATTAACATTCAAATGCCGCAATTTGCGATGCGGCGTTTAAACAAATATTGTTGATATGATTAGCGGGGCAATACGAACTCTCGCAGGCAGCTGTAAATTCTAGTGACAACAACAAAAGCAATTTACAACAAGCTGCTAAGGTGCAAGCAAACATTAGAAAGGGGCATGGCACGGTGAAAGGGCGTCAACGTGTCAACAACAAGCGCAACGGCGACAACAACAATAGCATCAACAGAAACTCAAGTGCGTCACACCCACAAACACAACGCACACTGCACACGCAATACACACACACACAGCACACACACCCAACAACGTGACAAGTGCACACTTGAGTCGGAACAAAGCGCTGCTAATTGTAAATTGCAACAATCCAAAAATGCGAACTCAACCAACAGACGAGACGTTTGCTTAGATGCTAAAGGAGATGCTGGGCTAGCTTTGAAATTAATAAACAAAAAAATAATACAATAAAAAACAAGAGGTTCTAGTCGGGTGCTCCCGACTAGGGGATACCCTGAACCCACTTCTTCCAACATCAAATGCATATATATATTTTAAATCACAAGCTATATGTCAAGTTTGGTGACTCTAGCTCTATTATTTACCAAAATTGCCCAAAAAACAGGATATCGATATCGATTTTTATCGATTGCTTGGAAACGGAGTAAGTTATCGATTATCGGAAACAAACTCGATCTGCGCGGGAACTAGGAGCATCTACATCTAAAATTCTCTAGTCTCTAGATCTTATAGGTTCTGAGATCCTTGCGTACATACGGACGGACGGACGGACGGACAGACGGACAAGGCTAGATCGACTCGGCTATTGATGCTGATCAAGAATATATACACTTTATGGGGTCGGAGAAGCTTTCTTCTGCCTGTTACATACATTTGGATTTTGCACAAATACAATATACCCTTAGCCCCATTCTTAATGGGTTCAGGGTATAAATAAAATTCCAAAAGCACAAATATTTCCGTAAAATAATGAAATTAATAATTAAACAAAAGTAATAAAAGAAATAATATACGTATTTAAATACAAATAAGCTTAAATAAAGCTGAAGTAATTTTAAAATAGTAAAAGCAAAAATTTGTTGCTTAAAATAACATGAATAAAACATTACACTTTACAAAAAAAAAAAACAAATATTGAGAAACTTTAAACAAAAATACTTTAAACAAGAAAATAAATAAGCTTAAATAATGAAAACTAAAAACAAATTGTCCACGTATTAGAAAAAATTAACGTAATGAAGATAAACCAAGGAATAATTATAAA